GAAAGATGCTTCCCACTGACCAAGGCAATGGCCATGTGAGAAGCCAACTGCTCTCCTCTACAACTGCTAGAAAACGGGAAGGTGTTGTGATTCCTAGCTGGGTGCTGTCCCTCAGCCCTATTTTGATGACTCTAACTTGTCTACTAGCTTTTGGCTACATTTGAAGGCTGCCTCCACAACTCTCACTAGCTACCAAAAGAAAGATGGAACATTCTCTTTCTGCTGCTCTCTGTTCCCAGACCATCCAGTTTGCAACAATTGGTGGGAAGTGTGTTCACTACTCTACCCCTGGATCAGCTTCCTGGTTGTTGCTATGGGGATGACCTTGCTACTTTATCCCTCTCCCAACCTCTGTTTCTGTGCCGGCCTCTGCTAATGCTCAATGCCATAGCAGAGTGAAATTGTTCTGATTTTTTTATTTTTTTAAATCAGCTTCACTGCTGCCAACAGACTGTACAGCAGTTTGAGAAAACAGCTATGAGCAGCAGTAGAGGCAATGCAGCTGTCTGCAGTCTCAGACAGATTGCATTGCACCAGATATTCTTGGTTCACATTTGGATGGCTATCTTCACAATCATAAGAGCTAGAGACTTCTTTAAATGAAAGCATATATTATGTAGAATTCTCCTTGAATAGTTTCTTATTTCCTCCTGGTGAGTGGACTGTTCAAGCATTACACTAATTGATTAGTCCATTAAGTTAATTATTGATTGACTAGTTCATTCAGTTAATACACAGTTTCCGGACCAACATGATTATCGCTGAATATGTTCTAGGCTCCAGATTCTTTAGGGTGTTTTATTGCCTGGTCTTTTTTATTTTCTCTTGCCAGGCCTAAGAATTATGCTAAGGACAGAAAACCACCCGAAAAACCCAACCCCTAATCCTCAGGAGACTAGTGACACCACTGAGCTAGCCTAATAGTCTTTATTCAGGTCCAAATCCCATTAATTTCAATAGGCATTTTGCCTGAGTAAGGATTTGGGCCCAAAGAACAAAATCCCACCACTAACTCAGTTCATCTGATTACAGCAGTTCCCACAAATCCTTGCCCTCAGTGAATGGAAGGACAGTAAATGATATACTTGGAAAAGCAATCTGGAAAAGTTCAGCAAAGCAAGTCTAGACATGAAACTCTAGAACAAGATATCAAAAAACTGACATATTAGACACACTTACTAGTGACTTGGCCATTCATATAAAGAAATTTGTATGTTGTGTGTATAGATGTGAAACATTCAGATTGAGAGTGTACTGGTTAGGTTTTCAAATGCCAAAACTGTGCAAAGTTTTGAGTGCACCTCATTTGCATGAATAAAGCCTGCATTTGTATGTACAAACTGTGTAGTTCAGCGTGCCACTACCCAGTTGGAATGTTCAAATGCCAATTTGCGCACACACACGAGCGTGCATAGAAAGTGTACATGTGCAGTTTTGGAGTCCAGGCTGGAAAATCCATCCTTATACAGCTATAAACGTAGAAACAGATGGGCATACATACAAGTGATAGACAGACATATCTACACGTGAAGAGAAATGACAGAGTCAAGCTTTCTACATTCAGCTGTAAACAAGGAATTTAACATTCATTCCACAGACTAATTGTGCTTATGGTCATCCAAGACAGATCAAGTTAGATAATAGAGGAGTAGAGTGCCAGAGAACCTGAAAGGAATGGACTATTGTGCTTGACTAGTTTCCATGTATAAATTAGTGCAGAGAGAAAAAAAAAGAAATTCTACAGACACATGTACTTTATTATAATTCCTAGTGTTATTCCTGCACAACTACCACAATAGCAGGCCAGAGAGCTAAAAACCACTAAAAAGAAGCAAAGAGCAAATGCAAATTTGATTAAATGCCTTTCTGACAAGAGGTGGCTTGACTTCAGGTTTGGATGAACACATGTCAATGACTGGTCTTAGACTTTGTGGTTTGCTGGTGATGGGTTTTTATTTTTAAATGAATAGAAAGGAAATCTTTGGAAGAGAATGCTTGCTCATTTTTGTTTCCCTCAAAAGAGGTGTGTTACAATTTCCTTAGCATGCAAAAGTCTGTAGGACAATGAGCAAAATTCCCCAAATATCTCATTTTAGTCTGGAGAGAGAAAAATATATATTTTAAGTAAGTATCAAGTCTGCTTTAACTCTTACAGACTCAGACTCTGGGCACTCTGTTCCAGGACAATTAACAAGTTAAATACCTGACCCTGCGGTCCTTCCTCAGGGAAAACACCCCACTGAAGTCAAAAGGATTTTGCTCTGACTTAATGCTAAGGAGCCCTGGAGGACTGCACCCATCAACACCAATTGCTACATCTTTTTAGAGGGTGCAAACTGGTCTAATGGTCTGCCCTGCCCTGGCTCTGCTCTGCTCCTTGGTGTGAGGAGGCAGGAAGACTAGCACCACAGCTGGCTTTAAATTCTTCCATTCTTTTAGCACCAGCAATGCAAGGGCTGGGGTTGCATCTGGACTGTGCCAACCTTCCCTGCTGGTGCACCCATGCAGACCAAGCCACTCTCTAGCCTTGAGCATGTTTTTCTTTCAGGGGGGTTTGCTGCACACACATCACACACAGCAACACGTGTGCTAAGTGACTTAAGAGACAGATCCTGTGAAGGCTTTCTATTGGATGTAAACTGCTTACTCCCAGGAGCAGTCCCATTATAGTCAATGGGGCTACTTGCTGTAGTAAGGACCTCTCACAGTCAGGGCCGGCTCCAGCTTTTCTGCCGCCCCAAGCGGCGAAGCGAAAGAAAAAAAAAGATAAAGCCGATCGGCGGCACTTCGGCGGCAGGTCCTTTGCTCCCTCTCTTCCTCTTCGGCGGCAGAGGGACTGAGGGACCCGCTGCCGAAGTGCTGCCGAAGACCCGGACGTGCCACCCCTTTCCATTGGCCGCCCCAAGCACCTGCTTCCTTCGCTGGTGCCTGGAGCCGGCCCTGCTCACAGTGCTAACTTTTTGCAAGACTGAGAAGTTACTTTTTAAGTACAGATCCAAACTCTGACTTTACTTACAGCTGAAGTCAAGGGGAGTCTTTCCATTAATTCCAATGGGCTTTGAATCAGTCCCTTTATGAATTTACTGTTTGGTATACTCTGGCAGTGACACATATATTAATATAGCCCAACACTTCACCATATTAACATCCAAGTCAAAATCCTGTAGTCGTTACTCAGTCAAAACTTTCACTGAAACCAAATAAGGGATTTGCCTAAGTGAGGACTGAGAAAAAAATGCCCTGACTCCGAAAAAGAAAGTTTTGCTTGTTTCATATCACTATTCTTAAGGCACAAAAAGAGTTTTATTTTAAAAATCTCTGATGGGGGGAGGGACACACAAAAAATCCCCACACAAACTGGTATAGTATTAAATATAATGCATAATGGTTGGCAGCAGAATGCACTATTTATTTTCATGAATTAGGGACTGAGTGCGCAATTCACAAGCAGTGGAGTGAAGTAAGTACAAGTGGTGAGGCTAGGGGTATTAACCTGGAGTCAAATCCTACAGCCCTTACTCAGTTCTAACTTAGGAAAAACTCCTACTGATTTTCCCTGAGTTAGGACTGCAGGATCTGGCTCATAATGCATAACAGTTGCCAAGCTAATAAACTTTTCATTGGTTAAGGAGAGCATGTTCTACCCTCTCATGCCTCTCTACAGTAATTTGTGTGGCTTACATTTTATTTTATATTTGAAAGAGCCTTTTTTAACAAAACTTATTTTTGTGGAAGATATTCATATTTACAATTATTTTGAAAACTCATATTTAATGATCTGTGAATAGCTGTTATTGAGACCTGACAAAGATCCATAACATGCATTTTGAATAGGGATATATTGTTTCTCATGGCTATCAACATTAACATTAGCATACAATAATAAGCACATTTTGTTTCATTCACATGTATATGAAAACATAAGCTCAGTTTGATCTGGAAATAGATAATGAACTTTGGAATAAAATAATGATTCTTCAGTAATTAAGTATATAAAATATGCACTTTGCATTGGAGTCAAAGTTGTAAATTAATGTTTAAAAAAAACACAAGAGTTTTTGCTTTCGATCACTATTTACAAATTAATCTAACCTTCAGATGAGCTTAGCTAACGTGCCTGCCCACGACACTCTCCTGTTAAAAATGTGTGCATTACTACTAATGTTTTCACTGCAGACTTTCTGGAGAGTAAACGCGCAGCTCATACCCATAAAATTAAGTATGAGTCACAATGGAACATTTACTTTCAATCAAACAACGCAGCAATGGTGTTCAGCTGTAGAGCATCTTATCAGTCTCCTTGGGAGACACAATAAAATAAACAAACATCCACCAAACAATAACCACCAATTTTGCATCTGTAATGTACACCTGAGATCACAGAACAATATTTTGCTTCCAAAACTTAGAGTTAACTTGTCTCTCTAATAACTTACAGTAATTATCAGAGATAATCCAAGCTGGCTGCAGAAGTCCCAGTACATGCTGTACATGGTTTCTCTGCATTTGCAGAGGAAAAAATAGTTTTTAAAAAGAGAAGAAAAACCCAACCCCCTAGTACATAAATTTCCAGGAACACTACAACATTTTACAGTTTGATTTCAACAGGGAAAAAAAGGCTGTTGTCCAAATTCCAAGCACTCAATCCATCATTCACAGTTCATCTCTCCCCACGTTTATATAATCTATGCCAACATTAACCTTTTGGTTCTACCTGGAGCAACCTATAGTACAAGACCCCTCATAGTAGCGTCCTGGAGCCTGGACTTCGACACAGCAGTTTTATAGCCCCTCAGCCCAAGCCCTGCGAGTCCAAGTCAGCTGACACAGTCCACCCTTGGGTGTTTAATTGCAGTGTAGACATACCCCTAGAACCTGTGTTGGGTTAGAGGGGATGATACCTGCGGAATCATTTCTTTTTACCTGGGTCTTAAAGATTTAGAAAAATGGATCTCTCGACTGCAACAGTTAAGTATTTAAATAAAAGAAATGACATTTACCAGGAGCAGAGACGCCAGGAGCAGGGTGCCAGCAGTTGCCCAACTGCAGCATTCCATGCTTGGATCCTTGCCGCAATCTGAATCGGACACTGAATAAGCTGCTAAGTGCTCCTCTGCCTGCTGTCACATCCAGTACTGGTGCTAACACTTCAGCCCTGCCTATCAGCTTCCATCAGCTCTGCTCACATTTCCTGACTAAGGGGTGGGTGGGTGGGTGGGGGGTGAGCTGAATGGAATCTCTCTCTGAGCAGGCAGCCAGCCAATCAGGCTCTTGCTAATCAGACATGCAGAATAACAAAGCCAAGGGGTCCAGGGAAAGTATAAGAGAGAAAGAAAGAGGGGAAGGAATGAGAGAGAGAGAGAGAGAGAGAGAGAGAGAATGGCAAAGCTGAAGGGAGTGCTCTGCCTTTAGTTAACCCGACTCAAGAGAGCTAGTCCTGTACTTGCCACAAGCTGTTTGTGGCTTTTGCTAGTACAATCGCGTTCCTTCTAACTGTGCATTGTTCCATTCAGGAGAGAAACTTAATCTGTGTCAATATAGAACACATGCCATAAAGGGCGCAAATCATAAGAGACAGAAATTTGCCAGAGAAAAATAAATTCTACTTAAATAAGGTCCTCCTGTATTCCTTAAGGGAACATGGACTGTGCAAATCTTTTTTATGCCACTTTGCCACAAAGAAGCATCTCTCCTCCCCCCTCCCCCATCACCTCTTGTCATACACATATCTATCTATTTTTAAACTGGTTTCAGAATTTCCTGCTTTACATGGATGATGGCTGCAATGTTGTGGTAACCAAGTCAGCTGGTAAAGATGCTGGTCTGTAAAACAAAGAATGAAGAAAAACGTTCTCATCACCTAAAGAAAAGCAATTTCAATTATCCACATTCAAAAGGGCCCCAGATACCGACTGAGGGATGTGCTTGCTTAGCTCCTTCAACTGATGAGTTAGGTAACTACCAGTCCAGAGCTATATTGACCAGTTTCTCACTGATGTCTGTGATGCCTATTATACGTGCCTGTTAGAGCACAGTATCACCGCCTGTTAGTAAGGTTGCCACTTCCCATCATAATACCTTGTTTTCAGTGGCTTATAAAACCTTGCCAAACTTTAAATGTTTAGGCAGAAATTTCCCCTGCCAGGCGTCTGCCTCATGCTGTAGCTTTCTGGAGAATTTCAGCCAGAATGGATCAGCCGTTGCTGAGAACAAGAATAAGGGCAAATACATTTTTGCCCATGTTAAAAACTTCTGGCAACCTTTTCTTTCAATAGCTCTAGCACCTTCTGGTTTGGAGCAAGGGCCTGAAGTTTGCCACGTGGGTGGCCTCTGTGTCTGTGATGGGCCTCTTGCTGTCCTTTTGAAAGTCGGCCATCTTATAAGCTTTTAAAAAAAAAAAAAAAAAAATCACAGGTCACACATACCTCCCCACCTACCTATTGGCTCCCAGCCTCCCCACAGCGGGTCCACCTCTTGTCCTCTCTGCATTCAAGTGAGGTAGTTTTTTCCTCTATGCTGCAGGAGGGCCTCTCCGGTGCTCTCAATGACTCTCCTGTGAGCAGGACAAGAGCTGGACCGGGGATGGGGGGGGGAGAGAAGGGGAGCAGGTGTGTCTGGGGAAACTGGCATAAGGAGCCTGGGGGAGGATACTGGGACTGTAGGCTGGCAGGAGATGGGGAAGAGACTGGAAGTGGCTTGACAAATTGACAGGGACTGGAAGTCAGGAAGGGAAATGTGAAGAAAGGTGGGGAAGCTAAGAAAGGAGGAGGAGCTGTGGAGGGAGAATAGAGTCAATGGCAAGGAGACTGGGACTGAAAACTAGTGGGATGTGTGCATGCTTATGGGGGCGGGGGAGAAGGGGAGATAGATCTGATGAGGAGCCAGGATGCAAGGGGAGAACCGAGACTGGCTGGGTGAAGAGACTAGACTGGAAGCTGGAGGGTTTGTGGAGAAGATTAGCTGGGCAAGGAGACTGGTACCGGAATGAGGAGTCCAGAGGGGTGAGACTAGGATTTGGGCAAGGCATGGGGGACTCGGGCTGGCTAGGGTAAGAGAATGGGACAGGGATGAGGAGCCAGGGATGGGACATGGACAGGGAAAGGGCAAATGTGGTAAACCTTGAGGGAGAATGGGCAAAATCTAAAGGTTCTAGCCCTGCTGATGAGCCATGTTGGTATCAATATATGGAATTTCTGTTTTTTTCAGTTTGCTTTTTTAAGAAAACCTAAGAAAATACACAAGTTTAAAAACACTACGACAAAAGAACATTAAGGTTGCAAAATCAAGTACTCAAAAGTAAGGAAATGCCAGAATCTAGATGGCTTGCACAACCTTAATTCGGCCATCTTGTGCCTATGCATTATACTACATTATGATAGCAATGATGTAATTAAAGATAGTATCACAATGCATACACAGAAGGGGGCCAAATTAAGGTTGCTTATGCAACCCTCAATTTTGGAATTTCCTAATGTTTTGAGTGCTTGACTTTGCAACCCTAATAATGTTGTTCACACATTTTTGGTGTATAATTATAGCATTTTCAAAAGCAGCCTCTTCTTAGTGAGTTAATTTTTGGGCACTCAACTACCAGACAACACTGTCATGATCAATACACTGGCTTGCAGTAGAGTATATGAAGTGATCCCAGTAGAATGCTTCCAGACATGCACAAAATTCTGCGTTTATTTTTCAGAACCAAACCACTCAATTCCTGACTACCTGAATGGTAAGGGATGTACCAATTAGAGATGGGCATGCCCTTTAAAATTCCAGTTCATATTTCTGACTGAAGCCAAAACACAATAATATATTCATTTGTTTGGTAGCAAACAGTTAATGTGGAAAAGCAGATACTGATGCTACACATGCCCATCCCAGATTTACTGACTCTTGAAATGCCGTGTTCAGCTTTGGAAAAGGTAAGTTGTTGTATTTTTTTAAAAGAAAACTCTCAAAAGGCAAATAACATCCTCTAACGCTAGTAAAACCGGAGCCTACACATGCACAATTTATAGTCCCACCATTGTTCTCTGCATGGAACTCCCATTGAAGTCAATGGAAATTTTGCATGCAAAATCATGGCAGAAGAAATATATTGGTAGCGGCCAAATGGTGTTGCCTGCTATCATCAGATGCCTAAAAAATGTGATTTGGCTGAAAAGAGCTCGTTTTTGTTCAAGATTGATATTTAAAACAATAGCAGAGCTGTCCAAGACTTTCATAATGAAACAAAAAATGGTGCAAAACTCACATGACTTTAGATTTTGTTGCACATTTAAAACTCAGACCAGGTTCAGGAACTTAGGTCCATTTTTGGTTCCAAGACAAAGTCATGTAAAACCCATGGTTTTGACATGAAGCCAGGTGAAATGTCACAGTTCTGGGAGTTTGGCTTTGAGTTTCTGAATGCATTTGAAGCAAGAACTCAAAGTGAACCTCAGGGAGTGGAAACTCACATGAATCAAATCCAAAGTAAAGGTCCATGCAAACTCTTGAATTGCAATAGCATTAAGTTTCATAGACATTTCAGTCCAATCCTGAATCCATATCACTCAAAAACAAAACTCCCATTAACGCTAGTGGACACAGGATTGGGCTCCAAGTCACAAGTGAAGGGCATCCACTCACAAGCCCTGAAAATGACCACTTCTGGTATCCATGTTGACCATTAACTACACTCCTTTTTTCCCCTTTCAGGTGTCTAAATTAAAGCAGTCTGCACAGGTTTGTAAGCAGCGGTGCTGGTTAGCAGCACTGCACAGCAATGGCGGATTATGTAGAAGGAGAGCAGAAATGAAGGAGGGTGTCAGGATTGTCTGAAGCATCATTCCAAGCTGTACAGATTTTAACAATGCTTAATTTAAAAAACACTAGCCCAGGAAGGAGAAAGCTGGTAACATCAATATGCTTTATAGCAGGAAAGAGTGAACTAAACTGTGGAGTTGATCTCTCTGGGGAGAGTATGTTACAGTTTTCACTCAGAAGCCACCTGCCTCTTCCTGGAGCTGAACCTCCTTTTTTCCCCATCAGATCTGCAGCAACCAATATTTTTTATTTCATTTTATTTTTCAGTTAGCAGTTATTCTTAGATTGCCTCTTATTAGTTTGGATTGGTTTCTGGGATGTTGGATGCTCACATAACCATGGAAAGTGGGAGGGAGCCAATGCTTATAAAGGGGGTGTGTGTGTGTGCGCGCGTGTGTGCGTGAGAGAGAGAGAGAATTTAATGGCTGTGAAAGATGTCAGATTGACAGCTGTGGGGACCATAATCTCCTGCAAGTGAAGTTCACCCCTGTGCGCAAGGCTGACACGGCTCTTAAATCCTACATAAACCCCTTCTTGGGGCTTAAGTGATGCACAGTCTTTGTGCAAGCACTCCATACAGGAAGAAATGACTTCCCACTGAACAAACATAGCATTACTCTGCACTGTGCAGGTTTCCTTGCTTTTATCTGTAAGGACGGCCTCTAGGGGTGAAAGGATAGTTCAGTCTCCAGACCCACTCGGTCCTTGGCCTTTATGCTGAGAAAAACTGCCAAAAAGTTTGCCAAATAGTACATAAGAGCGGCCATACTGGGTCAGACCAAAGGTTCATCTAGCCCAGTATCCTGTCTTCCGACAGTGGCCAATGCCAGGTGCCCCAGAGGGAATCAACAGGACAGGTAATCATCAAGTGATCCATCCCCTGTCGCCCATTCCCAACTTCTGGCAAACAGAGGCTAGGGACACCATTCCTGCACATCCTAGCTAATAGCCATTGATAGACCTATCCTCCGTGAACTTATCTAGTACCGGTAACCTGGGGATTGGATTGAGACTCTCTAGTTTAGGTACTTTTATGGCCCCCATCAGCGTAGCAACCGAGCACCTTACAATTGTTAATATATTTATCTTCCCCACCCCCGTGAGGTACAGACTAAAGAACACAGCAATATATGCCTCTATATTTAACTGACTAGATTTCAAGCTGATGATGTACCTTTAAATCATATGACACATTCTAACCCAACCTTGAAGAACTACAGTCTGCTTCACCCTCAAAAATGTTGGGAACATTTGAGAAAAGGAATGGTCTCTCTTCTTTCTTGAGACGTGAC